GAGAATACTGGGACACTGCAAGACAGCATGCTCCTGCTAGACAGATACCAGACACACAGTCTCTAGCTACATCTGARATGGCTAACTCCAGGGGTTACTCTCAAGTTTCAAGAAAAAAAAGCCTTGAATCTCACATAGGAGAATGGAGATTCCAAAAAGAACATGACACAYCCGTGAAARMAGCTACATGGTTTGCAGAGGAGTTGTCTTCTAGCAACCTGCTCATGGTCAGAGCTACAGAAGTGAGTCTTGCAGTTGAACAGCAGGACCTCACTGACCATGAGGACTGGGAAATGGTGTCTAGGCACTCATCTTGGGGAGATGTAGGTTTGGGTGGCAGTCTTGAGGCCTCAATGGACAGTGGCAGAAGCACTCTTATGGAGGCAAGAGGTTGGGAAGTGAATGGGAAAACAAAAAAGATCGCAAGAATGGCTTCAGAGTCTCAGCCAGTTAATATCAGGTTTCAGGTGCATTACATCACAGGCACTGATAGGCAATTCATTGCAATAACTGGAGACCATGAGAATCTTGGGAGATGGAACACTTACATCCCACTCCACTATCACCAGGATGGGTTTTGGTCTCATTCTGTTTTCCTGCCAGCAGATACAGTGGTGGAGTGGAAGTTGGTGTTGGTAGAGAATGGAGGAGTTACTCACTGGGAAGAATGCAGCAATAGACTCTTAGAGACTGGTCACTAGGATAAAGTGGTTCAGGGCTTGTGGGGGATTCACTGATTCTGCCTGCCAAAAAAACAGGCTGTAGCAGAATGTAGAAAAGGCTGAGGCTATGGAGCACACTGAATAATTTAAAATAAAGGCAGCATGACTCCAAATTTAGCCATCAGAGCTGTTTTGAATTCGCTAGAGGCTTTTGTCTGATGTCAGAAATATATATATGCAGATAATAAAAAAAAAAAGAATTGAAGTCTAGGGCTGGGGATATAACTCAGTGGTAGAGGACTTGCCTAGCATGCATGAGGTGATTTGATCCCCAGCACTACAGAGAGAGAGAAAGGAAGGAAGGAAGAGTTGGAGTCTAAGCTGGGTGCAATGTCACACTCCTGTAATGCCACTGAGTGGGGAGGCTGAGGCACAAGGATCTCAAGTTCAAGACCAGCCTTAGCAAATTAGTGAGACTCTGTCTTAAAGTTTAAAACTTTGATAAAGACCAATAGGGCTGGGGATGTAGCTCAATGGTAAACCATCCCTGGGTTTAATCCCTAGTCCAAAAAAAAAAAGAGAGAGAGAGAGAGAAAGAAAGAAAGAATTAGAGTCTGTATCCCCTCTCCATAAATCCGAGCTAAAATTGGACCTCTTTGATAAAATGTAGTTGAAAAGATATAGGTGCATCCTGGTCTTTAGGAAGTAGTATTGGTCAGTCACTGTGGTGCACACCTGTAATCCCACCTACTCAGGAAGCTGAGCCAGGAGGATCACAAGTGTGAGGCCAACCTCAGCAATCTAGAGAGACCCCATCTCGAAATAAAAAATAAAAAGGCCTTAGAATGTATCTCAGGGGCAAAACGTTGGCCCAGCATGCTCTAGGTTCTAGGTTCAATCCCAAGACCAGGAAAAGAAAATAGTGGTACTGAGCCGGGCTGCATGTAGGTCAGTGGCAGAGCACTTGTGTGAGGCCCTGAGTTTGATCCCCAGCGCTGAAAAAGGTTTTTAAAAAGAAAAAGAAATGGTAATG